TTCTGACACCACAAAGTATAAAAAATACCTTTAACAAACAGTGTGGCATCCTAGCCAGTGAGATGTGAATGGAGTTTCTGAAGGCTCTAGAAAATGCAAATAAGGAGTAGAAGTACATAATTGTGGGAAATCACACAACAAACTGATTATTTGTTAGTCGCATGATTGTGAATGTAGAAAATCAAAGAGAATCAAATTATAAGCTATCAGAACTAATCAGATAATTCTGCAAGGAATTCAAAACAAGCCCGTCATACAAGAATAAATAGCATTTACAAATAATAACATATTTAAAAAATGATATTTTAAAATTTTCTATTTACAAGAATAAAAATATCTACAAAATGCACAGGAGTAAATTTTCAAGAAATAATAATAAAAAAAAAAGCCTATAGAGCCGACTATAAAACATCACTGAAGAACATAAAACAGACATGAATAAATGCAGATAGACACTGTTTTTCCAAATGAAATTAATCAATATTGTAAATATGAGAGTTTATTCCAAAGTTAATCTATATTGTCAGCACAGTCCCAGATCCTAACAAATGATTCCAAAGTGAATTGAAACAGAAAGAGGTATGAAGATGGAAGCAGAAGAAGGAGGACTCATGATGGGTGAGGGGAGAAGAGGATTTTTCACTAACATCAAAACATGCTATAAAGTTGTAGTAAATAAAACAACATGATTAGTACAGAAATGGATGAATAGAGCATTGGAACAGATAGGATTTCAGAAAACAAACTAATGTGGGAATTTAGAGCATAAAGATTGTGTTTTATTTCTAGTAAAAAGACCAGACTTAATGGTTTGACTGAGACTGGAGGGACCTCGGACCCTGGAAGACATGGACCTTGCACTCTCTGTTAGCCCAAAACTAAAACCATTCCCAAGGCCAGCTCTTCAGACAAAGATTAGACTGGACTATGGAACATAAAATGATACTCGTGAAGAATGTGCTTCTTAGCTCAAGTAGATACATGAGACTAAATAGGCAGCTCCTGTCCGGAGGCGAGATGAGAAGGCAGAGAGGGTTAGGAGCTGGTTGAATGGACATGGGAAATCCAGGGTGGAAAGGAGGAGTGTGCTGTCCCAGTATAGGGAGAGCAACTAGAGTCACATAGCAATGTGTGTGTAAATTTTTGTATGAGAAACTAACTTGAATTGTAAACTTTCACTTAAAGCACAATAAAAAAAAAAAGATTGCATTTTGTATGTCAAAAGTAGTGTAAGGGTAAAGTAGTCAATAATATTCTTCATTCAGAAAATAATAGTGTAGTTAGATATATACCTCACACAACCCACACATTAAAACCCAAGAACAAAAAGTAAAATGATTAAAGCATTACAAAATTTTTAAGATCTTGTGATAGAAAAAAATCCATAATCAAAACACAAAACCTAGAATCCGTAAGTACATAACTGGAAACCGTGATTATGTAAAAACATTTAACTGTGGGAAAGATACACTATAAATGAAGTTAAAAGACCAGTGACAGTCTGAGAGAATATTTACACGTATATAACAGATGATATATTATCCAGAATATATCAAGAATTCCTACAAATCAATAGAAGACAAAGAGACCAATAGGAATAGGGGCAAATAATAAAAATAATTCACTAAAGAAGAAATACAAATAACAAACATTGAAAAGATGCTGAACTTCAGTAGCAATCCAGAATATTCAAAATAAATAGTCAATATAATTTGTCTATAGATTATCAGACTGAAAAACTGTAAGAGATGTATAAAGATTTTTGAAATCCAAAATCGACAAGGATCTATGGAAATATTCTCGGACGCTTTTCGTGGGAGTGTAAACTGATCTGGCATTTTGAAGAGCAACATGGCAGTTTCTTTCATAATTTAAAATGCATATGTAATGGTTCTTTGAACAGATCAACCAAATTGATAAGTCCCTAGCTAAACTGATCAATTATCAGTATCAAGAATGAAAGAAGAGATATCACTATAGATCCTACAAACATTTAAAGGACAATAAGAAAATTTTATTACAATTTTATAGCAGTAAATTCAACAATTTAGATGAAGCAGACAAATTCCTTGAAAAGTACATCTCACCTGTCATGTAGGGGTGTCATAGTCATACAGCAGAAGCACCATATAGTGCAGCAATAACATAGTGTTTACTGGGGGAAAGTTGACCTGTAGAGAAGTAGTAGAATGCATACAGTCCCCAGAACTCCCTTGATTCCACAGCAAAGTCTGACTGTGACTATTTGATATGCATCATGGCCAAGTTTCCAGCAGAGAGGGGCCTTCCTGCACCAGCAAGCTGGATGTGTGACTGAGAGCTCTCCAAGAGAGAGAAAGAGACCCATCCCCCACTATCTCTGTATATCAGGGTCCAAGGTTGAGCATTGCCTACCAGAAACACTGCCATCATCTTGTTCTTTCCTCAGACTGTCAGCTCCCTCTAAACTACCAAGAGGAGAAAGGAAATGAGTGTCCAGGATCATCCAGAATTGTCTCTCATCCTTACAAGACATTGACAAAAGATGACATTGAAAATCTGAATTGCTCTATATTACAGAGATTGGATTTTTTTCGTCTAAACCCGTCATACACAAATACACACATTCTCTCCAAGCCCAGATGGTCTCACTGATGAATATCAAACATTTGAGGAAAAAAATTAACACAATCTTATACAGACTTTTCCCAAAAATTGAGGAGGAGAAAACACATCCTAACACATTGTATGAGGCCAGTATAGCACTGAAGCCAAAACCTGACCAATGCGTTATGAAGAAAATTATGGACCATATGTCATCATGAATATACATGCAAATATCTTCAATTACATAACAGTAAATCAAATCCAGCATCATACAAAAAGGATTTTACATCATGGGAAAATTCAGATTATCCTAGGAATGAAAGGTTGATTCATCAAACACGAATGAAAAACTCTTCCTCAAAGATGAGTTCTGAAAAAGCAACCAGCACAATATCTGTACAGATAGAATAAGAAGGGAGGAAAGGGACAGGAAAAGAAGTTTCACTAGAGATAAGCTGCCATAGAGTAGGTGAAAATATTTTACTATGAATGAAAAATATGAATATTAAAATATGAATAAAATAATTCCTTCTAAGAAGCAAACATGCAAGGTAGAAATAAATGTAAAGATTTAGGGAAGAGATGGTGCGACAATAGGAACAGATGAAACAAAGAAATAAAAGAAAGTAAATAAAATTAGAAAGAGCACAAAGAAATATCAACTCTAAAGAGAAAAAGAATGCAAATAAGATATATGAGTTCAGTGAAATGGAAATAAAAATTTTTAAAGTATATATGTTGAGATGGTTTCACAGGTGTCTGTTCATGCATGATGTACATGTGAAAAACTAAAGCAAAAGTTATTAGGAGCAACATGAAAAAGGGATAATAAAAAGGAGATAGCCCTACTAGATATTAAAATGTATTATAAAAGCCTCACTAGTTGAAATATATTATAAAGCTTCACTTATAAAAAGAGAGAGGATAGAATAGAAAGTCCAGAAATTGACGTAAACACATGAGATCAGTGGGGAAAATATGGACTATTTAAATAAGTGGTATTGGGACAACTATGATTTTATGTAATCTCTAAATGATTACAAATGGATCAAAATTTAAAAGTGAAAAATAAAAAAAAGTATTAGAAGAAATCATGGTTCGAAAATGACTATATGTGGAAAATTTTTTTTTTTAAGTATCACACTAAGTTCAAAAGTTGGAAAGGAAAAAGATTGATTAATTTGAGTACACACACACAAAACTGTTTTTGGCTTGGCATAAAACTCTATTAATTACCTTCAAAAGAAAAGTTATAAAAAAAATTGATAAGTAGATCATAGATAAGTATTTTCCTAAAATATAAAGAACTTCTATACATCACTAAGAAAAATAGACAAATACAAATATCTCTTAAAATTGATGCTCAACTTCATTTACAATAAGAGAAATAAAACTTAAAAATATACTAAAAAATAACTACACTGAAATAACACATTAGTGTTTTTCTAACGGTGTAGAGAAACAGGTACATTCTTTGTGGAGACATAAGTTGATACTATCTTGGAGAAGGGAGTAGAATTAAGCAACAGCTATCAAAATTACAGTTATGCACACCCTTTGATCCAGCAATTCCACTTCTAGGGATCTATCTTAGAGATGCAAAATTGACATATGAGAACCATTATACATTATTTATTGCAACACTGCTTGAACTAGCAAAAGATTGAAAACAGCCCACACATCTATCTAGACTGCTCTCAGCTCATAAAGCCATGCACCCAGGCACAGAACTCTGTCCACCCAGAGCAAGGAGCGTTTTTTTTTTTTTTAATGCACACACAGACGTAGTATAGGCTAGCATTTATTGTTTTCTCAAAAGTGAGAACTTAAAGACACTTGTGAAGTAATCTAGGTTTTTTACGATTTTTTAAATCTTTTATAGTTATCTTGTCCATGCATGACTTAACTGCATTTTTACCCAACTTTTCTTTATTGAGTCCTTCCAAAGCATTTCTAGCTCAGTTTTAATAAAAATGAGTTCTGCACTCGTATTTCATCAGTTTATGTAATAATTAAATAAATCATGTAACTGTTAAAACTAATATATAAATGTTGAGGAATAAATAGAACTGACTCTTGGCATCAGCCCAGCTTGTGGGAGTAGGTGTGTTATGGCATGAATGAAGAGAGTAGCCTGCCTGCTGCAGGCATTCATTATGCCTAAGATAACAGCTGTTATACCTGGAAGAGGAAGTGGAGAGCTCTGGTTAATCCAGCAAGTTGCCTAAATGAAGGTCGTTTAAGAGAGCATCTATTGTATACTGACAAAAAGCACAGGGCAATCCATTAGGTACTGAAGTAAATAAATTTTAATAAAAAATGATTTGCTAGTATCTTCACATTTTTATGCTATGATTGCCTTGTCTTTATTTATGACTTCCGTATGAGCCCATGTTCTTTCCATTATATTACAGGCTTTGGTCAAAGAGTTACAAAATGATGTCCAGATGATAAGGCAACAAATCAGAGAGCTTAAAAAAATGCAGAAAAACAGAGTTGCTGCTAAAACCTCAACCCATAAAGCCCAGACCTTGGCAGCTTCTATCCTGAACATTTCACAATCAGATCTAGAGGAAATATTGGATACAGAAGATGAAGTGGTAAGACCATTTTTTATTAATGAAGGGTTTTTTACATATTGAATTAAAGCACATGTTTTTATTATGCAATTCTCAGAATTTCATCTTTAGGATAAAATTAATGAAGATAAGATTATTAATGTGCCAATGAAAGGTATACAATCAAGAGTATTAGCCCTCTCAAAAAACCTTTAGTCTTTTAGCTGTATAATAGAAAAATAAGCCAGTACTTAACAACCTTTAGAACTGCTTGTTATTCAAGTCAGTTATCCTTTTTTTTGTTTTCTCCATTTTCTTTAATTTAGTTAATCATATTATATATCTTGTAAGCTAGTATTTTTAATTAAGTTAGTTTGAATGAAGTTAGTTAAGCTGAGTCACCATTGACTTCAGAATTTTTTCTTCTACGCCAGATTTTAAAAAGTAGTAAATCTATTGGCTTTCTTAGCTAAATTCAAAATTATTGTTGATCAAGTTAAAGAAAAACATATTTATTACTTTAAATTGGATAAAATACATTATACTGCCTAAGTGACTTTATGGGTATGTTTTCAATGGCATTTCAGCACCTCCTAGGGAGGGCACTGCATTTGGACATAGTTTTCTGTTTTATGAACAGCAGCTTCTTAGCTTATGCACAGTCTTTTGAGAAACCTGAGGGGTTAGTCAATCCTGTTTTACTTATAAACCTCTGAACTTTGATACACAGATAATTTTTTTTAAATTTGGAACGATTAAAAGGATTAAAGAATAAATAGATATTTATTTTCAATAAATATTTGCCAAATGAATAAATAAAATTATAAAATTATCCTCCAGCCCCTTCAGCTTCTCAGGGAAGTTCTGGAGTAGAGGAGATCCGTAATTTGCAATGAATAATCTTCAGGAATCCTGCAGAGATTATTTTCATCCCATAGTAGAGAACTATCAGTTTTCTATTTTCAGAACCAGTGCCACAATGTCTGTGACTCTTTAGCAAATTCTGGATTTTGAAGTACAAGAGTATTAAACATATGACATCAAATATACATATTAAATTATATAATTATAATAAATCATAATAAATGTATAAAATTATGTCAAATATATGACACACAGGAGATAATAGTACCTCTGGAAAAGGTGTTCGCTGTAGATTACAGACAATTAAAATTTGTTAATTTGTAATAAGAAACCTAACAAAAAATTAAGATTGGAAGCCTCCCCTGTTGCCCGAGTTTTTAAACAAGTGTTGTTGTTAGTTACCCTCGAGTTGATTCCCCATGTGTGTGGAGTAGAATTGTTCCATAGTTTTCAAGGCTATGACCTTTCAGAAGCAGATAGCCAGGCCTGTCTTCTGAGGCACTCTGGATGGGCTCGGACTGCCAGCCTTTCAGCTAATAGTCAAGCGCTTAACCATTTCTGTCACCCGGGTCACCCTTTTAAAACAAGTAGATTTAGCCAGAACCCTTGTGTGTTTGTGTGCATGTGCAAATACTTACACACACAAACATATTCCAAACAACGCAGGGCCACTGCCTTTGTGCAGTTTCTAAAAAGATGTCCTCTCACAATAGAACGTCCCAGATGGAATGCAAGAAAAATGTAGAAAACACAAATTCCTAAAAAAGCCCAGACCTACTGGACCAATAGAGACGAGAGGAACCCCTGAGACTATTGCCCTAAGATACCCCATGAATTTGGAATTGAAGCTATTCCTGCAGGTCACCTTTCAGCTAGATAGTAGATTGGCTTATAAAATAAACAATATTACTCGTGAGTAATTTGCTCCATTAAACAGTTAACTATATGAAACCAGATGGTCAACAGTTACCACAAAGCAAAGATGAGAATTTTTTTTTTGAAAGAACTGAAACAAAAATTCAAGCCTCAAGTTACAATATTGAAGAATTCTATGGGGAAAATATTAAATGATGCAGGAAACATCAAAAGAAGATGGAAGAATACACAGAGTTACTGTACCAAAAATAATTGGTCAACATTCAACCATTTCAGGAGGTAGCATATATGATCAAGAACCAGTGGTACTGATGGAAGAGGTCCATACTGCACTGAAGGCATTGGTGAAAAACAAGGCTCCAGAAATTGATGGAATACCAGTTGAGATGTTTCAGCAAATGGATGCAGCACTGGAAGTGCTCACTCGTCTATGCCAAGAAATTTGGAAGATAGTTACCTAGCCAACCGACTGGAAGAGATCCATATTTGTACCCATTACAAAGAAAAGTGATCCAACAGAATATAGAAACTATCAAAAAATATCATTAATATCACACACAAGTAAAATTTTTTGAAGATCATTCAAAAGCAGTTGCAGCAGTACATCGACTGGGAGCTGTCAGAAAGTCAAGCCAGATTCGGAAGAGGACATAGTTACCTCCGAGGTTCACGGTTCAGCCTGGGAGTGGACAGCCCCGTAAAACCAAATGAGACTAACGAGGTACAGGAGTCCAGTGACAAGGGCCAGAAAGCAGAAGGGGACAAGGAAGCTGGTGATAGGGAACCCAAGGTTGAGTAAGGATATTGTTGATGTGTTGTGAGATTGTTAACCATTGTCATAGGGCAACATTTGTAATAACTGTTAAGTGAGAAACTATTTTATTCTGTAAGACTTCATCTTAAGTGAGAATAACAGCACCATTGGAAAAGCGTAGTCAATGTCACTGAACTGTGCATGTAGAAATTTTTGAAATGGTGTATCTTTGGCTATGTGTATTTTCACCAAAAAAAAAAAAAAAAGAGGTTGAGGAGTTAGAGGGTTGATATGTTGTGGGGTTGTTAACCAATGTTATAAAACAAAATGTGTACTTCTGTTTCATGAGAAATTATTTGTTCTGTAAGCCTTCACCTGAAGTACAATAAAAAAAATAAAAAAAAAAAAAAAGAGGACGTAGAACAAGGGATATCATTGCTGATGTAAGATGGATTATGACTGAAAGCAGAGAATACCAGAAAGATGTTTACCTGTGTTTTATTGACTATGCAAAGGCATTCGACTGTGTGGATCATAATTATGGATAACATTGTGAAGAATGGGAATTCCAGAACACTTAATTGTGCTCATGAGTAACCTGTACTTAGACCAAGAGGCAGTTATTTGAACAGAGCAAGCAGATTCTGTGTGGTTTAAAGTCAAGAAAGGTGTGCATCAGGGTTGTATCCTTTCACCATACTTATTCACTCTGTATGCTGAGCAAACAATCCGAGATACTGGATTATATGAAGAAGAACGGGGCATGAGGATTGGAGGAAGACTCATTAACAACCTGCAATATGCAGATGACAAAACCACGCTTGCTGAAAGTGAAGAGGACTTGAAGCACTTACTGATGAAGATAAAAGACCACAGCCTTCACTATGGGTTACACCTCAACATAAAGAAAACAAAAATTCTCAAAACTGGACCAATAAGCAACATCATGATAAACTGAGAAAACATTGAAGTTGGCAAGGATTTCATTTTACTTGGATCCACAATCAACACCCATGGAAACAGCAGTCAAGAAATCAAATGATGCATTGCATTGGGCCAATCTGCTGCAAAAGACTCTTTTAAAGAGTTAAAAAGCAAAGAAGTGACCTTGAAGACTAAGGTGCGCTTGACCCAAGCCATGGTGTTTTCAATCGCCTCATATGCACGTGAAAGCTGGACAGTGAATAAGGAAGACCGAAGTAGAATTGATGCCTTTGAATTATGGTGTTGAGGAAGAATATTGAATATACCATGGACTGCCAGAAGAACCAACAAATCTGTCTTGGAAGAAGTACAGCCAGAAAGCTCCTTAGAAGCAAGGATGGAAGAGCTCATCTCACATGCTTTGGACATGTGATCAGGAGGGACCAATCCCTGGAGAAGACATGATGTTTGGTAGAGGGCCAGGGAAAAAGAGGAAGACAGTCAACGAGATGAATTGACACAGTAGCTTCAACAATGGGCTCAAGCGTAACAATGATTGTGAGGATGGTGCAGGACTGGGCAGTGTTTCATTCTGTTGTACATGGGGTCGTTATGAGTCAGAAGCAACTCGAGGGCACCTAACAACAACAACAACAAAGACGAGAAAGCAAGGAGGGAAAGGGAAGCTAGATCAATTGAAACAGAACAAACAGAATGGAATCAATGGCACAGAATAATTTATAAAAATTGTTAAAGGGGAACCTAATTTGCTATGTAAACTTTCATCTAAAACACAATAAAATACTATTTAAAAAATAAATAAATAAAAATAAAGGTCTTCTCTGGACTGACAAATTAGAAAAAAGCACCCCCTGTAATTGGGAAAATTAGAAAGTTGAGTCCCTATGGGTGTATATGGGTTAGAAAAGGATCTCCCTTTATAGTCCCAAGGAGGCCCTGGGTGGTGCAGTTAATGCTCTCATATGTTAACCAAAAGGCTAGAGGTTTGAGTCCACCCAGAGGCTTCTCAGCAGAGAGGGCTGACAATCTACTTATAAAAAACCAGTCATTGACAAGCCTATTGAGTTCAGTTCTACTCTGACACACATTCGGTTGCCATGATTTGGAGTAGATTCAACGGCAACTGGTTTTTTTGTAGTCCCCAAGAGTGAATGGCTATTTTTGTGAAGAAACGCACCCCTGCCTCTGGACAGATGCAGCCTGGAGCCAGAGTATATGTCGCTGCAGTATACATACCACACAACCTTAAAAAGGGCCCAAGCAAACACGCTGCTCTCAGAAGGCTCAGAGCACCTTGACATAATTACTAGGTTTAATTGTAGACCAGAGCTCATTTAGACTGGTCCCTACATCTTTTAGAGGTCTAAGGAGTTGAGAGACTTGCCCAAGCAGAGTCCAGACCACCTGACTTGCGTTCTTTAAACTACATCAAACTAGTAAATTCATCTCAGAAGCTGAGATACCCTATGTGACATGCTTAGTGTGATGCCTGGCATGCAGTAGCTTTCTACAAATGTTGCTTTACCAAACCCTTTCCTTTTTGAAAAGTATATGTATATTTTTTGTAATTGAATCATGATCTTTAAGTGAATGATCAACTGCAGATATGAATACTTTATAATTTCAGAAATATTTTTACCTTGATAATTGATGAGTTAAAAATGTTCAGTGACTTACAGCACTTGTTGGAGTGTCCCTTAGCCAATCAGTAAACTTTGAATATTTTTAAATAACTAAGCATTTAGATGCACCAGAGTCAAGCCACGTTCTGTCACTGTTTGCAATTGAAACAATTACCCCTGCTTATCTGTTGACAAGTCAGCTTTCAAGTATAAGGCTTTATGTTATCTTACGAGGGTCACTTGGAAATGATTCTTTTAAAGAACTCCATCCTGTTTTTCATTTTCTTTTAATCGCCTTCATCCCCCATACCTCAGTCCCTACCTTTTTAACTCCACTGTGAAGGCAGAAATAAAATATTCCTGAAGTACATTGTGAATTATAGAAATATAGCTTTATCTTTCACGTGTGTATAAATATTTAGAAATTAAATATTAAAAAGTCTGGATTTAAATATGTCTTGAGGGGACAGGCTGCTCTTTGTTGAATCTAGTTCTACCAATATCCGTCTAGATTTACTCAATATCTAATAGTTTGGTCAGGAGCCCTTTTGGTGCAGTGGTTAAGAACTCGGCTGCCAACCTTTCAGTTCAAATCCACCAGCCACTCCTTAGAAGACCCCATGAGGCAGTTCTACTCTGTCTTATAGGGTTGCTATGAATCGGAATCAACTCGATGGCAACGGGTTAATAGTATGGTCAATTTTATAAAAAAAACAGTTAACACAGTGTTTTTATTTTTTTCCCTTAGGAAATTGAAAGAGCAAAGATAGATGCTGAAAATGACAAGGAGTGGCTGTTGTACATTCAGAAACTTCTCGAAGGACAGGTACTTCATTTTTCTACGTCATATATTAAAACTTTGAGATAAAAAGTCCAAGCCTTACAGTTTTACTGTATGTCTAACTTTTTGTAAACACACACTACTTCTGTTAGGTAAAGAAGTATTCCAAGAGGTAGACAGCAAAGTTAACCCTCTATTTGTACTTTTGGGCTTAACAAATGAAACAAACGCCTTGGGAAGGAGCCAACATGGGTCTTAGCAAATGCATTAATTAAATTATCGAGTCAGCCTCTATGCTTGCTAGACGGAAAAGGATCCATTCTCTCAGACCTCTTAGGAAAAGAGATTCTTTATTATGTGTCTTTAAAGTTAGTAGTTGATATGGACACCTGAGGAGTTCATGAGTTTCAGTGACCTTTTACTATGGACCTGTTTCCAGTCAATTCATGTTTTCCTCACAGCCAGACAGCTGTTTATTGCTGTGTCTTCCCACATTCTCTACAATATTTTCTACTGAGACCTCGAGCAGCTTGTTAGTGGGAAGTAAATATTGATTTGGCATCCTGTCAATGCAGAAAGAATGAAAAAATTTCCACCAGAGGCCCCTCAAACATTTTCCTATCGACATTTTCTGGGCTGAGTGGAAAGCTGCATAGAGGATGACAAGGCCAAGACGAGTTGAAATCCCTGAGGGGTCTATTGAGACTGCTGCTGTGACCTGTGTGATACTTTTTCTTCCCTTTCAAGTATTTTTTTTAATACACATATAGTCTGCTGGGATGTGCCCCTCTTGTAAGTGATCAAGGGCAGTTTATTGGCAGGTGAGAGCCCTGCTTTTCTAGTCATAGCCAGCTTTTGTTTTGACATCACTGACAGCATGTAATATATTCTAAAACTTTATCATTCTTTTTGCTCATCCTAATTGTTAATTTTTTTAAATGATCTGGAATAAATAAAAGCTAAACATATTTGTCGCAGAAACAAAAACAATATTATTTGCCTGTGGTGCTTAGAAAGTCATTGTAAATGTTTCTGTGTAAAGATTAAAAGAGAAGCTGATATATACATGTAACTATTTTATGTTTATATTAACCAAGAGAAGTTTCTCTGCTCGTTTGTGAAGCCAAGAATAAGTAACATATAACCTAGTCGTTATTATAAGCTACTCATATTCTTTGTGTCAGTTTTATGTATTTTCAAAACATTGAAACATTCCCAGAGAATCACTTCAATAACAACACACGGTGATTGGCAGTCTTTTTGCTGAAAGTTGTCTAAGTGCAGACGTGCAAGTGCCCAACGAAGCCTTGTGCAGTGACAACTGACTTTTGAAGAAAGGCTGTTTCTTAATCATGTATATGCCCAGCACCCAGCCAGTGCCTGGCACATCATAGGAGCTCAGAGATGATTAAGTTTTGAGTTTTGTTCAGCTTGAAAATGATAAAAATGTTAAGGAATGTCTTATTGTTCAACTTGTACATATAACCTTGTATTTTCATTTCATTAGTAATTTTATCTTCAGTTATGAACATAAGAAATAATAAGTCCATATGCGTAGATAAGAGCCCTGGTGGCTCAGTGGTTAAGAGCTGGGCTGCTAACCAAAAGGCCGGCAGTTCAAATCCACCAGCCGCTCCTTGGAAACCCTATGGGGCAGTTCGACTCTGTCCTGTAGGGTCGCTATGAGTCGGAATCGATTCGATGGCAAAGGGCTTTTTTTTAATGTGTAAATCTTTATTAAATTTTACTAAAGCTACACTGACACTGGAACTGTTATACTGGTAACACAGGAGAGGTACATAATCCATTCTACACTATACAGATATATGCGTGTGCTCTCCAGTTCGTGTAAAAAATCCTGTTGAAAATGGCATCAGATCGCTTAATACTGCAGTTTGATGTAGTGCCTTTTTGTGCCACTGAGCCTGGACTCTGGAATATAATTGCCTGGCAGTATTGATTTAATTGCCCAGGTTTATTTGTGGACTCCTAATTATTGACTGGAGGTAAATTTAATGGAACAGTCTTTATGAACACCGGCAAACTGCTGCTATTGCTGTTATACATAATGAGCTGTGTCATGTGCCTTTAGATCATTTTTCAAGCTAATTTTATTCTGCTGTGACAGTATGATAACATTTAAAAAGTCAAAGACTTTTTATTACTGACATAGGTGGTTTTGCTGATGTCTTTGAATGTTGTGAGAAAAAAATCAGGACTTCATTGGTTGCACTTGAATGTCACTTTATAATTATGCCCAAGAGAAAAATCTATACAATAGAAAACATCTTCTTTTTTTCAGCCTACTTGTCTTCTCTTTCAATTCTAGCAATTATATTTGTCCTGAATCTCAGAAAAGGTTTTCTTTGCCCACCAGTTTTTTGCTTGTTTGTTGTTTTGGTTTGTTTGTTTGAGTCTAAGTTATGCTCACAGGAATTATATGGGCAAAAGTGTAAAAATGTTCATTCATACATTTTGTTTAGTTTATGGCGTACAGCTCCTTGTATCTGAGTTTACATGATCTTTGCATTATCAAACTGTGGAATAATTGAGCTCATTCTCTAAGAGAACATGTTAATTAATTCAATATCGATTTTATTAAAATATTTTTTAAAGATAAAAGTAAATGAATACTTCACCCCTTTGATGTCCACCCTCAGTGTTGAGTGCTGAATGTGATAGAATTGTGAGATTATAGAGGTGAGCCTTGCTCTGTGGTTTTGTCTTTTGTTTAAGGATTGAGCCACAATTGTTTTCTATTAAAGAAAATTTTCTCTGCATTCACTTTGATGAAATTTTATATCAATAAAGTATTTATCACAATATAAAAAGCTGTTCTGCCATGTGGCAGTGTGGAACTACACAATAATATAATACCTGCTGCTGCCGTTAGTCAGAAGAGCATGAGAACTAACAGGTCTTAATTTTTACTTTATATGCTTTTAATACAGAATGCAAATATATGTGGTTTCATGTACTCCAGATGCAATTGGTAATTTTATATGTTTGATATTTATCTGCACCTAATGTTTGTCCCCAAAGATTTCTGTTAATAAGAACCACAGTGATAAAAAATCTTTCTGAGTCTACTTTCATTTTTCTACATCATAGCTGCCTTTTAATTTCTTTGAACATTTTCACTTGTATTAATTCCTCTTTTCACATTAATAACTATTTAAAAACTTATAATTTATGGGAGATACAAACAAGCAAATTATTGATTCTAGTAGGATATGAGAAACCACCTAAATTAGTTTTTCTGTAGTTTAGGGAGCATGAGAAAAAAAGAGAGATAAGAAAACTGAAGAAGTTTTTGAGCAGGAAAGGGATGTGATCAGAGTTGTGCTTTAGAAAGATACTCTGAGGTCAGCATATAAGGATGGACTGGTGGGAGAGGAGACTGGGAGCAAAAACGCAGTCTAGGTGAAGGGCACTGAGAGCCTAGATGTACCCTGGCCATAGGAATAGAGAAAGAAGCAAATCGATGTGATCCACATGATAGTGATTGAATCCGTAACAGTAATGAGATTAGATGAAGCTGGTTCGAAAGCAGAAACCAAAGATGGGCAAGTTTCATACCCTATATGATGAGAAAGATGATGATATCTTTAAGAGTTTTAGGGTAGAGCAGCGTTAGTAGGGAGGATATGTTAAATAGTAATTGAAGCCACAGAAAGTTTAGTAGGTATATTTCATTAACAATATTCAAAGATTTATTTCATTAATTCAGCCCAGCCTTATGTCTGTCTATTCTCAGTGCAATTTAACCATTTAAAATACATTTCAAACTCTTCCAGTTCAACAATAGAAAGACAAAAACTCAATTAAAAATGGGCAAAGGAATAGACATTCATCCAAAAAGATATAAAAATATCTAATAAGCACAAGAAAAGAAAATCAACATCATTATCCATTAGGGAAATGCAATTCAAAACCACAATGAAATATGACTTCACACCTACCAGGATGGCTGTAATCAAAAAGACAGACAATAGCAAGTGTTGACGAGGATATGGAGAAGTCAGAAACCTCATACATTGCTGGTGGGATTGTAAAATGGTGCAACCACTGTGTAACACAGATGGAAGTTCCTCAAAAAATTAAGCATAGATTACTGTAACTAAAAAAAAAACCAAACCCATTGCGATTCCAACCCATAGCGACCCTATAGGACAGAGTAGAACTGCCCCATAGGGTTTCCAAGGAGCAGCTGGTGGATTTAAACTGCCCACCTTTTGGTTAGCAGACATAGCACTTAACCACTGCACCACATGGCACCACAATTCCACCTTTCGGTATATACCAAAGAGAAATCAAAATATACGTACATGCAAAAATAAATGAATGTTCATAGCAGCATTATTCATCATAGCTCAAAAGTGGAAACAATCTAAATGTCCATCAGCTGATGAATACATAAACAAAATATTTATGTGCCTACAGTGGAATATTATTTAGCCATAAAAAGGAAGGAAGTACTGATATGTGCTACAACATGGATGAACCTGAAAATATTGTGCTGAGTGAAAGAAGCCAGCCACAAAAGACCACATATAGTCTGAATCCATTCACATGTGAAATGTCCGGAATAGGCAAATCCAATCCATAGAGACAGAAGCAGATGAATGGTTACCAGGGGCTGGTGGAGTTGGGGGGAGGTACAGATAGTGGGTGACTGCTAGTGAGTACAGGATTTCTTTTGGGGGTGATGAAAATGCTCTGGAGTTGTACAGTGGTGAGTGTTGCACAACTGTGTGAATATACTAAAAACCACAGAATTGCACACTTTAAAATGTGAATTTTATGGTATATGAATTATATCTCAGTTTTAAAATTGAATTCCTTAATACGGGGCATGTTGAAAAAAGAAAAAAAATGCATTTCAAAGTAAACTTAATAAAGTTCTTATATTTCATATGCTGTATTCCCTACCATTACCGTTAAAAGCATTTGAATTTGAATTTCTGTCCACTGTCCACAACCATGAGAAAGTGAAATAAAGTATTGTATTTCATACTTATGTTTCCTTTCAGTTGGCACATAAG